TACCCACCCCAGGCCTCGCCGCCGCCCTGCCAGGGGCGGAGTAAACAAGAGACGCAAGATTTGACCTGGCGCGACCCGGATTTCTGGCCGGGGTTCCCCCTGAGCAGGTGACTCTGTGGGAGGGGTGGAAATTCGCCTCTGGAATTCCGGGCCAAAGACGTTAACTGTGCTTCTGCTCTTAGGGCAGGTATTTCACCAACCCCGGAATTTTTCGCGTCTCAAGTTTCAGGTTTCGCGGAAAGGAACCAAATGTCAAGGCATATCAAATAGTCCCTTCCTTTTTCATTAAAAAAAAAAAGAATACATTAAAAGGGAAGGCAGCCTTTTTAATGACTGCGAGGCTAGCACTGCTAGTTTCGTTTTTGTTTTTCATTTAGACCTACAATCAGGGTATTTCTGAGGACCCTATCCACAGGCGACATTGCCCTGAAGGATGACTCTGCAAAATAAAGCAGTTGGTACGTTTTTTATGGATTTTTTTTTTTCCAAAGGAGAAACATCTGAATGATTTGAAGTAAGTTTCACTGTGTCCTTTCAGGTTGATCTCATTTAAATTCAGAGCCTATTTCCACTTAACCAGCCTTTTCTTTCATTAAGTTCTTTACTATTCAGCCCTTCTTAACTTGATGCACTTAATAAAAACTCCCCCAATCATCATATTCTCTTAAATGCATGCCTTTGCATTTTTAACATCCATTTAAATGCAAAACGTAATTTTCAACATGTTTTTTTCACTTCCAAACCCACCTGCTATGTACGCCCAGAGTCCATTTTATTTAATTGGCTAATAGAGAAGATTAAGCAGGTTCTTTAAGAACCCAATATCCCTTCAACACACACAACAGCAGCTGCCCAAGCTCCCAGAAACTAAGCAAAGAAAGTAGCCAGCAGCGTTTTGCTTCACTAAAATGAATGTTAGTTGGAATCTTAATTGCCTCTTTGAAATATTAGATAAAGTGGCATAGTGTGAATATTAGAATACTCATTTAATTGGACAGCTAAAATATTTTTTTAAAAAGCAAATATACATCAATTTTGATTACCTGATCCTACCCCCAAAGAGGAACCCCCCCCCCCAAAGATATTCTTTAGTCAAAGTTGGATTCTCCTTACCGTGTTCCAACATCATCAAGCTCTAAAGAAGATAACTGAAGTGAGTTGAAGCAGAAGTAAAAATATTTGTAAGTATGTATAAACTAGGTGACATTTCCTCTGCTGGGTGGAATTACTATCTTTAAGTAAATGCATTCCTCTCACCTGCCCCTAATGTTGCAACATGTCTGTCCAACCGCTTACTTGTAAGTGTAATAGATTAACAAAAGAACTCCTCTCCCCAGAAATCCTCAGAAGACAAAACCAGCATTGGTAAACCCTGCCCTAAGCCCAAGGAAGCTCTAAGGAAAGCAAGGCGGGGTGGGCGGAGCTGGTTCCTCCTGGGCAACCATAGGGTATATCAACAAAAATGTAGTCACTTTTTATTACTCATCTTTCTTATCACGTCTCATTCCAGAGGAAAGAATCATCTAATAATCTTGATTATGAGGTATTAAGAGAGTCACATAATTTCCACGTGGCATTTTCACAGTCAGAAATCACTTCAAACTGAAAGCACTTTCATTCACAAAATATGTATTGAGTGCCTGCTATGTGCTAAAGATACTTAGGATACATCAGTGAACAAATCCTTGATTCCTGGAGCTGGCATTCGAGGGGGTGGGGGGAGGGAGTGTGGTGGTAGAGTAGGAACAGGATAGAAAATAAACATAAGACAAACAGTATAGAACTTTGGAAAGTAAAAAGAGTTAGGGGAGAGGGACATAAAATAGGGTAAAGGATGTCTGTGGGGGTGGGGTGTTGTGTTGCTGTACTAAATGCAGAGGTCAGAATAGGACTGGTCGGGAAGTAACATTTCTGCCAAGGCTTGAAGGGAATGCTTCAGCAGTGGAGATAATCTGGAGTAAAGAGCTTTGCAGGTGGAGGAAACAGCCAAGATAAAGCTCTAAGGCCAGAGCAGGCCTGGCATGTTTGTGGACCTCAAGGGGAATAGTACAGCTAGAACGGAATGTGACAGCCAGTGAGCAGAACCACCCAGGCCACCCTGAGGACTTTCCCCACTCAGGAAAGAGCTTGATAATGGGCAGGTTTATGACCTTTGCCACCCAGTTCCTCTGAATCTGAATCTTTGTGGGCCCAGGAATCTGCATTTTAACAGATACTGCAGTTGATTCTTAAGCAATCTAAAGCTCAAAATCTACTGCCACTGAGCATGCAGGCTGATACTCCTGGCAGGAGAACTGGGTATCAGGAGACATGGTACATAAACCTGCTAGAACCAGGCACATCTGTGTTCCCAATAGCACTCTTTCAGTTGCAAATTTAAATCCTCAACTCAAACTAACTGTAAAGGGACTTCATTGACTCACTCAACTAGAAGTCAAGGGCTAAATATCAACTCACCTGGATCCTGGGCTCAAATGATGTAACCCTGATTTAGTCTTCCTCCCTCTCTCAGCTCTTCTTATCTTTCTGTTTCATTTGCTCTTCAGACAACCTTTCTTCTTCAGGGTGGTGGCAGAAGCCTAGATTATCTCTTTTTTTTAAAAAAAACTTAGCAACTCCAATGGGAAATGGTCTTTTTCCCAGATAGCTCAAGCAGCCTTAGCCCTGTCCTTGCACATGAACCAATCATGGGGATTGGGTGATGGGGTGATCTGATTGGTCAGATATAGATCTGGAGTGAAGGATGGGCCTCATGGGTTCCCCCCCAAAAAAGAAGAGGAGCTGTCAGAAGGTATAAGGGGGTATACACTCTATCCCTTAAGTTTTGGCCTTGGTTTCTAAATTTTTAAAATTAAGGAGTTGGTTAAGATGATGTGCCTGATTCATTATGGCTGAAAACTCTTTATAAATCTCTGTAATAAATCCCTTTACAAAACTGTGCTAAATAAATTAACTGGCATGCCATACCCACAAATAAATTTAAAGTACTATATATAAAATATTAAAGGGGTTACCTGCTGGGGGGTTCTGATGAATAAATGGAATATATAGCCCCGGGTCTTAATAAAGAGGGATAATTTAGAACTGCCCTTCTGATGGAGCTCCCACTTCCTATTCATCTGCTTTAATTGGCATATAGAGGAAAATTAAACAGTGTCATGATTTTGTGGTGTAAAGAATACATAGGTCTCCAAAAAGCAGTTGAGGAAAAGAATTTGAAGGAAAATCTATCTGTCTATTAAGTTGTTATTAGGATATAAGCCAAGCATTATAATGTAGACCAGGTTCTTTATCCCACTGTAACCTCCTTTAATTGAGGAGTCGAGGGAGGGGTGGTAATTAAGGACCAATCAGCCAATCAAGGTGACATCTGTTAGAATTGAAGAATGAAGCGCTCATCCTCCT